AAAACGTAGGGAAGACAGAAATGTGAACAACAAATCAATCAGACTTTTTTACTCAGCACTGATGTTTTTGTTATACAATTATTGACTCCTGCCAGATTCCCTGACAATTACTGAGAACAGTTCAAATATTACATTCACCTACCATACAGCAACATACACGTTTAGCCAAAAAAAGTCTAAACTGGTCTCTCACTACTGTTTTTCTTGCACTCTTCCAATACCTTGAGAAGTTCTCAATTTAAGAAAAGAGAATAAATAACCACAGATGTTTGAACACACTGTAATTTTCTGATTCTCTTTTTCCTACTGCAGCTAGAAAGAGAATTGACTTTTGAAAACTTGTCTGCATGGACCAGCCCAGAACTAATGGAGAAAACAAAAGTGGAAGTTTATCTGCCCAGGTTCACGTTGGAAGAGAAATATGATCTCAAATCTACTTTGAGCAGGATGGGGATACGAGATGCCTTCACTGAAGGTCAAGCTGATTTCACAGGAATGGCAGAGAAGGGTGAACTGTTTCTGTCACAAGTTTTTCACAAGTGTTATCTGGAAGTCAATGAAGAAGGCACAGAGGCAGCAGCTGCCAGTTCAGCAGCACTGGCATCACGAAGTCTTGGCGCTGCTATTATTTTTGTAGCGGATCACCCTTTCCTCTTCTTTATTAGGCATAACAAGACCAAGAGTATCCTCTTCCTTGGAAGGTTCTCTTCTCCCTAGAAACCTGACCATTACTAAACAGGCTCTTGCAACAACAGTAATGAACACAATATGCATCATGAAGATATTTTGATAGTCTGTGAACTTCTTAATTTTCCTGTACTGTTGAAAACTCTCTCAACGTTAAAAGAGAGCACATATTAAAAACAACCTGTAATTTATGCCTGTGGCTCATTTTCCTGGCCAAAGAACTCAAAAATGGTAGCACTGCACTATAAACACCAACCTGTGCACAGATCAACTTTGATGTGTCTTTTCAGTGCTTTCTGAAACCAGAACTGCCACAGCACAGAACAGACTAAGTTAGTCTAAAACAGTAATTCCCAACACTCTTTTTTTTTGGTAATATAAGAAGAGCAGAAACAGGAAAAACTCCTCCCTGCAGACCACTGCTGCATCTCCATTGATTTCGGCTCACTAAGCTGGACATCCCAGGAGGGCTACCTTGCCCACATTCAGCTACTCATGCTAAGTAAGTTATGCCAAACAAACAGTACATCAAACTGCACAGGACAATTAATTCTATTTATAACTTAGTTATTTAAGGTAAACTAGTATTCCTTAACAAAATAAACCTGAAAAATTCTTTGCATTCCTGATCCTGGTGTCCTACTTTCAAGTCTCTGTCCCACAACAACTGGAAAATATTGAACAACACTATAGGATTGGAGGAAAATAAGACACGTGTCTTGAAACCTTCTCCTCTGTAACCTTTTATGCATTCAACACTGCTGCCAGCTCAGCACTACACTGCTTTACTCTCATTTTGCTTTGCCACTTATTTGCAAGATCAAACTGGAGAATCAAACCTGTAACACTAACTCCCTACGTGCTTTCTGGAAGATGACACATAATCTGCCAGTACGCATTTACTCCTGTCACAGCTCTTTCTCCTGAGGAGGAGAGCATCCTAATCAGTCATGCTTGACTGCAAGGGGTGTTCCTAACGCCCTGAATTCAGAGCAGAGAGCAAAGGACAGGGCCTCTTACAGGACTTGCACATGTCAACAGCATCCTACTAGAAACATCTCTTCTTGGCTCCCAGGCAGGATGTCAGTGACTACCGACCGTCAGTGAGCCCTTTCTGTTTTCCTTCACGAGGCCACCTGCTTCCAGGGTCCAGTCTGGCTCCCTTTCCCAAATGGGAAGAAGCATAGGAAAAGTGTCATGAGGCAAGTGCTTTATTCTACCTCCATACAACCTGAACAGCACTGCCCTCTGTCTCAGCTGTGAAACATACCACAGGATCCCTGTGCCTTCAGATGCAATTCTGCCACGCCCTGCTTCACCTAATGCAAGGGCTTCATGTCTCCATGGCCAAGCCTCTTAAGCACTTCCTGATGTGCCTCAGGAATAAAGACGAGAAAGCCACACCTGGGTGGCCAAGGAGGAACAAAACCATGACAACGTGCACTCAAACTCACACACAGGATTTGAATGTCAATGGAAATGTGAGTTATCTTTTCTCTCTCCTTCAGCTATTTTAAACATGATTGCAAAGATGACAGAGTTAATGCCCTCTTTGTGGTGCCAGGTCATTGTTACGTGGCAATGGCCACACTTGAAAGGTGAGTTTGCACATCAGGGAACAACCTTTTCTCAGTGTGAGCAACACAGAACTGGAGAAGGTTGCACAGAAAGGTTGGTCAGTCTCCATCCTCGGAAGGGCTGTGGCTGACCTTACATACCGATGGCCTTGCTCCAGGAAGGAGGTTGCCCTCTGGATGTCCCTTTCAATTAATATGTGTGATTTTCTCTCTCTTGTCAACAGCCATCTGCCTTGCCACCTCCCATTTTTTCTGCACCTTGACTAGCAAAGGGAGCTAACTTGCTCACTCTCAGCACGCTTCTTTGGGACTTGGGGTCTCCTGGCTTGGGTTTTCCTACCATCCAACCATTTAGCTGACCTTTCTCCTGTCCTGATTTCTTGAGTACTTACTCATAATACTAAAACCAACACTTATTTAGTTTCTGTCATTTCTTCATTGCCTTGCACAACATTGATTTCTGCCACTTCTTAGAAGACTTGGCCCACTCTGTTCCTGTAATCAGCCTTGCAGTAAAGTGCTTAGCACACAGTACAGTTTCCTTCCCTTCCTTCATTACCCTTCCCTTGTCCCCCAGGGTCTTGTCACCACCTTCTCTTTCTTCCACCCCGCAACATCAACCCAGGTTCTCTTCTGGGACTGCTGAGTAGCAACTACTGTGTCATGCCTGTCCTCACTGTATTTTTTTCATTTTATCCTTGCTTGAGTCCTCCCAGGGGGGATGTTTCAGTCCTTGACCTCCTTCACTACATGCAAGTACTGTGCACTAACTCAGTGCTTTGAAACATTTCTCTCAAATGATTCCCAGCTATGGTTGCAATGAGATTTCTTCACCAACACAATGAGTGGAGTGTTCATCCCTTACCCTGAATGGTCCTTCATGGATTTGCCCCATCTCTGCTCCTAATGATCTTTAACCTGAAGCTGGATCCTCAGTGTCTAATTCAACCACTAGAATTGATGTTTGATGCTGATGTACCACATCTGAAACCCAGGAGTCACAGCTGCACAAAGCCAGAGAGAATAATCAGACCTACAATACCTGCTTATATCCAGAAATCAAACCCAAGCATTCTGCTTGTGCAACGTCTTTACTAGTCATTTATTTTAAACTACAGACCTGTTGTCTTCACAGCACCAGAAGACCAGTAGAATGGGTGAACTGTTCTGCCATCCTGTCAGTAGACTACTGAGCTGCGTCTTAATTCCATCATCCTTCCGAAACCCCTAAAACTGAAAAGTGACGAGGTCAACAAAGAGGACAAAATTACATAAGATCTTTTGGGGATGTGGTAGAAAGGAGCGTAGGGTAGGCAGAAACAACCTGCCTGCAGGGGAAAAGGAAAGGGAGGTGCAAGTAGTAATATATTTCTAAATTTATTCATTGCTTAACACACAAACACAGAACCTGACTAAGGACAAGACCAAAGTCTTCTCTCTCACGAGATCAAAGGTAAATATTTAAACTAATTTAAGTAACTTTTCTGATGCTTTAAAAAGTGATCTGTGGCTTGCATGACTGTACAGGTAAATTATAATTCACCAGAGTTACAGCGCATTATTCTAGACTCATGTTTTGCTACGTGTTAGCTCTTAGAGAAAATAAATCTGTGAGGCTATGGAAAACTGCTGATTTGGGGCAGAAGTGATCATCAGTAGGAAAGGTTTCTTAGGGCGGTTACAGTCTTATTAATTAAAATCTCCAGATAAAGGACTTCAGTGCTTCAGGTGAAGAAAAAGCCATTTTGATTTTGCAAAGGCACAGCATTGCATATTAAGAGGCCAGGGACTCAGAGGAGTATTAATTAGAGGAAGAAAAATTTCCATCCTGATGTTCTTTTGGTTGTGTTCTCCAAGGGAAGAAAATCACTCTGTGGTACAGATTTGGTACCGACAGTACACTGACTTTTACAAGAAGTGTAGTGGTTTGGCAACCAAACACTTGATAAATATCAGCAGACTTCAGAGGTTGCCCCACAATTTCTGTTGCTCCATTCCATGGATACATCTTAATAACAGCATCAATAACATTTCTGGTGTCTTGACTGGAAAATAAAGTGAAGCAAGTAGTACAGGGCAGATATCTGAAAGTCTGGAATACTCACATGCTTGAGGAATTTGCCAGTTTCTGGGGAAAATAAAACTGCTGGAACCGACAGAAGGGATAGCAGGTACACATTGTGGATAAAACTCCATCAGTCTAAAAGCAAATAATAGCTTTGCTATTCATGATACTACTCAGAAAAGCTGGTCAGGAAAAGCATGTGAGCCTAAGAATTATGCCTAAATTCTTTTCTCAGTATTAGCTTTCAATTCTGTACAGATCCAAAATGAAGTAGTAGGAAACTCGGGCACTTTGTGAATCTGTGTACTAAAACTGCATTACAATTCCCCTTGGAACATGACTTTGATAAAATATTAGTTAAGGACAAAAAGGAATAAAAATACATAGCTTACACATCTGCAGTTTTGAAAACTGAAGGCAGAAAGAAACACAAAGAAAACTGCATCTCTATACCATTACAGGAAAATATTATCTGGATAACACAAAACCTAAAAGAAATTGCTGCTCCCAACAGGTGGCAAACGAGGTCTATGTTGAAGGTAAATATGCGACTAGGCTATTAGTTTTAATGGCTGCCAATGCATTGTGTTGCACATGGAACAATTCACTTTTGTGCATAATTTTAAATATTCAAATCGTACAACTCAGTTGTTTCTTTCCAGGTTGTAGCAATGGAACAGGTCTCAAAATCAGTTGGTGAATTTACAGTTGATCTTTTCAACAAGTTGAATGAGACCAACAAAGGCAAAAACATTTTCTTTTCCCCTTTGAGCATATCATCGGCTCTGGCTCTGATGTACCTGAGTGCAAAAGGCAATACAGCAACAGAGATGGCAGAGGTAGGTTGCTCTATGAAGCATTCACTCCATACAATACCTGGTTCCTGTACTGGCTGCAAAATTTAGTGTTAGATAGAAAAATTTGCCACCACAATGACAAAGGACCAAAGCCGACCAGAGAATGTAGCAAGTGAATGGTAAATTTTATTCATTTCATATCAGGTCCCGCACTTCTCCATGAAGAGACAGTGTCCTGTGGGTATCACACACTGAGCATAGAGGTTCTCTGAACCTGAATTCTTCTAAATTATTCAACACCTTCTAATGTACCCTGTGATTCTACGATTGGTTCACAGATATTCCCTTTGAGAAACAAAGAGCTGACGCCAGCAGCTCTTAACTAATCCCAGCACCCTCCCTCTCTCCTCTGGCCAGGATGCATCTTTCTACCCAGATTTATGCTTTTCTAAACAACTGCCTGACGATCCAGCAGGAAAACAGGAGGGCTTGGGTATCTCCACAGCCCCCAACCCAATCCTTTCCAGTGTCACATGGACACACTGCTGGCTCAAAGGAAGCTGTGGTGCTCAGCAGCCTCCTCTGTGTCACCACACTCCCATTCAGAGGCTGTTGTACCATGATGGTGGGGAGAACCATCTGAGCTCGTGCAAACACATTGCTGTTGCTGAGAGCAATGGCTGTGGGAAGGAGTTCAGCCTTGAAGCACACAGACAGGAGCCCTGTGTCAATGCTCTGGGAAGGGAGCAGAGCTACTCATAGTTCCTCTATGATATTTACGTATACTACAGCTTCAGCATCCCTTTGATAAGTCACTTAAGCAGCAGGTAGCACATTTGATCCCCATTTGGCTTTAAGTCACACTGGTTCCTTCACATGTATTTCTTACCTTTGGAAACTCTGCTTGCAGGTTCTTCACTTCACTCAGGCAGCAGGAGCTGAAGGTTCTTCTACTGTGGCCAGGCCTTCTCGGGGGAGACCAAAAAGAAGAAAAATGGTATCTGTTAGAACTGAAATCCCAAGATAAAGAATATCCAGAATCAAAATGTCCAGATATAGCTTTAGGAGTCCAATACTTCTTGTGCGCACCCCTCTTTAAAGTACAACCCCCAACGTACTTCACAACAGGTTCCAGTTTGGTTCCTTTTATCACTCTGACAAGCATGGAAATACAAGTCACTGGGATAGTCTGGAAGGTTTGCTATATGGCAAATCAGTTAATCCAGTCATAAGCAATGCGAGCTGCAGGGATGGTAAACTTGGAAGAATAAAAAGTAACAGAAGGGAACCCAAATCTCTCTCCCACACATATCTTTTAGCAAAAAAAACTTCATGCAAAAATGCAGTTGTTGAGTGTATGGTTTCTCTTTCCAAGAATCCTGAGCACAAGCAAGAGGATGCTATCCATTCTGGCTTCAAAGAGCTCCTGTCTGCCATCAACAAGCCCAGAAGCACCTACTCGCTGAAGAGTGCAAACCGCATATACATAGAAAAAACCTTCCCACTACTACCTGTAAGTTAAATCTCAAGGAGAAGTAAGAACAAGTGCAAAAAATATCTCTCATTTTAACTACTTTCCACTAAGAGAACAGGTTTGAAGCAAATACAAGACCCGGATTCCAGTGATAAGCTTAACTGGAAAATATCAGTTGGTATTTAAGGATGTGTTGCTGTTTGACTTTTTTGCTTTTCATGCAATACAGCTTTATGATTGGAACCTCCAACATACACAATTGCAAATGAGATATTAAAATAAGCACATCCATGGGTTAACCACAGGCGTCCTTGCTTCTCCAAATAAAAGTGGGGAAAAAAAATTAATTTTCTCTCCTCTGTTTTTTTCTTAACTGTTAGCTCACAGTCCAGCAGAGGGTAACAACATGATCTTGCAGTCCTCTACGCTGAAGAAATTATCAAGAAGTCCAATTTACAACATCCGTTTGAGATGCAAAAACTCAGTATAGTATAGAAATCTTTTTTGTTGTTGTTATTTTTCAGGCATACATAGAGCTCAGTAAGAACTACTACAAAGCACAGCCACACAAGGTTAACTTTAAGACGGTGCCAGAAAAATGCCAGAAGGAAATCAATGCTTGGGTTGAAAAACAAACCGAGGGTAAGCTTAGCTGAACCATCTTCCCTTTCCTACTAAATCACCCTGCCAATTCATTTGGACAGGTTCCCTTGCTTCCCCACATGCTACTGCAGCAGCCAGGTCATGCCTGCTGCTCTAGACAGCGAGGAGAAACGCAGTGGGAGGACAGAGGAAGAGCAGCACAGTTCAGCAGCTTCAAATACCTGATTCGGACCTCAGGGAGCTCCTTGGGGAGACTCCCATTGACTGAGCTGGTCCTCAAGCACAGCTGCTGCCCTGATGTTGCACCCGTGCACCACAGGCAGAGTAGAAAGAGGGGAGAAACACCTCTGCCTGCCAGGGTGCTCCAGGGCAGGTGGGGATTCTTCCCTAGCTGTACCACCCTGCATTGGCCAGAGGTAGCTGACCTCTTTTCACCTGGCAGGGCAGAGTATGGCTTTCTGCTTCTATCTGTTTTACGTGAAGCTGTGACACTTTTGGGGGAAGGAGTCGATCCCTGTCAGCTAGTCAGGAGGACTGGACAGCAGACAGCTCTGGAAACTCTGAACAAACTAACTGATTTAGGTCAGGGGAGTTAGACACTGAAACACAGAGTTGAACTGAAGGAAAAAGCAGTCAAAACATCCTTACTGTGCTACATTGGAATTAAATCTCACTTTTCTGATTTCAAAAGGGAAAATCAAGAATTTGCTCAGTTCGGGAGATGTAGTAAACTCCACTAAGCTGGTTCTGGTAAATGCCATTTACTTCAAGGCAGAATGGGAAGTGAAATTTCGTGCAGGAAATACAGATCTGCAACCCTTCCGACTGAGCAAGGTAAGATCCTCTGGCATTCTTACCATAAACAGTCTGCTGATAACAGATACTCTCAAAATCTTTCAAATTTGTAAGCCTTTTAGGCACCTCTGTGGTAACTAGATGCTGTGTGAAAAGCTGGTTACAGCAAAATATGTCAGTGCTTAGCTAGCTGCAACATTAAGATGCTGTTAAGGTAAATGTTAGTGAGTTCCTGACAACAGCTGCCATTCCCAAAAGTACTAGAGTCACTTAAGACCTTTTTGTAAAACAGTGCTAAAAGGGCTTAATTATAAAAACATGGGTTTGAGAGTCCAGGCTTCATGGACAGAAACTACATGCTATGGCATCGGTGATCAAAGTACCTGGCCCTCTGTGCTGCGCAGCCTAGCTAGTCACAAACTCTTCTGCTCAAATACAGCTGCATGGGCGTGTGGTTGGGTCAAACTAGAAGAAATGCTAATGGCAAGTATCCAGAAGAGATGTCAATGAATTCACATAAAAAGACAAGAGCTCTGTGCAATTCCTACTAACTGCAGCTTCTGCCTTCTGATTAGAGTGTATACATCATCTGCTTCCCTGAATGAAGGGACGTAGAGGTTAAGAGAGGTTACATACACCTGCGAAGGCAACGGCTTGCCAGGAACTCCCCTCCTCATGAGCCCCTTTGCTCAGACATTAGTGTTAACCCTTCTGTTAAGGGTTGTGACATAACGAGCACACAGCCAGATGCTTTTCATTACCAGAGAGAGGAGACCACAGAAAAACTGCACAACATTTGTCCTCTTAAACCATAGCTGCTTCTCTGCCATAGTGCTGTAAGGCCACACCCCATGCCTCCATCTCTCTAATCTCTGAAGACATTTCTCCTCTACGGGCTGCTGTGCATGTTTCAGTGAGAAGAGAAAAATCAGTCTGTTCAGCCCTCAACCAAATGCTCTGGGACAAACATCAAATTAAATGAAATCATCCAATCGAGAAAAGCTTTGGAAAATAAATGACAAAAGACTGTTGTAAAAGCTGTTTTCAGAAGTTCCCCTCCACAGCACTGAGTCATTGTCATCCTTCTTTACTTATATAAATACTTTACAGAACAAGACCAAGCCTGTGAAGATGATGTACCTGAGACATACATTTCCAGTTCTCATCATGGAAGCAATGAATTTCAAAATGATTGAGTTGCCGTATGTGAAACGCGAACTCAGTATGTTCATCCTCCTTCCCAATGACATCAAAGACAGCACTACGGGTCTCGAACAGGTAAAATAGTATGCTACATCCATTTTTCATCACCACCCAGCCATTAGAAATAACGCACAAAAGAGGTTGGTGACCACACCCAGCCCCCTCTGAGGACGTGCTCTTTGATCTCATCCACTAGCTGAACATATTTCCTTTAACATTTATCTAATCCCAAGAAAGTTCCCCGGCACTGAGTGCCTTTAGTTTGGTAAGAACTGAAGAAAGCCAACAATGTGCATAATCAGATGTTTAGGTCTTCAGCAGCCCCATGACTGGCACCTGATCCTACAGGATCTCTAAGTGTTAAAACTTCCTTCATCGCACATTCCGGAGGGACAGTACTGCACAAGTATTCACAGCCTCTATCTGAGATAACAGACACCTCCATGGCCTGGAATTTTATTCACCATCTTGTTCTCATTCTGTTTGCCCCCACACACATTTATCTGCTGTCTGAAAAACTAGGATTTTGGAGAGACCATATTTGCTACAGTAATGAGATCTGCTACTGTACCACTGCAGGATTGTTAAATTCTTGGCATCTATCACGTACAGAATGGCATTCATTGCTCTCCTCTGTCTGATCTGAGCTAAACCCTGGTGACACTATCCCTGGAAGAGTTTAGAGACGGGTAGATGTTGTGCTCAGGGACATGGGTTTTAGTGGTGTTGATAGGGCTAGGAAAAGGTTGGACTTGATGATCTTGAAGGTCTCGTCCAACTGAAACTGTCCAGGACATGAATGACAGTGAGAGATTTTCCTCGAAGCAGTTTGTTCTTAAATTGCCAAGAAAATATAAGCAATATTATCACCTGTTTCTATGGAACTGGACCAAACTACCTGCTGCACAGCTGGAGATCTCTCAGTAATTTCCTTCCCATTAAGACTGAATTAAAAGGGAGGAAAGAACTACCTCAGGGGATGGCAGCTGCAGGTGTTGAGTGACCTGACTTTCTTTTGCAATGAATTTGTCAGGGGTAGTGAACAAAACTTAGCAGCATTAAATCTCAAATGTTTGTTGCATTCCCTGCCTCTGACCATCAGTAAAGCTTTTTTATATTTCATCCTTTCAGGTAAATGTTAAATCCAACATTTAAAGCCAATTAAATTCATTAAATTGCCATAAAATAGGTTAATTCATACTTAATTAATTGGTTTTTTTCCTTATAAACACCAAATTACTTCTCTTTCTTAAATGATAGCTGGAAAGAGAACTGACATACGAGAAGCTATCCGAATGGACTGATTCCAAGAAGATGACTGAAACTCTCGTGGATCTGTACCTACCCAAGTTCACAATGGAGGAGGGATGGGACCTTAGTGCTACCCTGAGCAGCATGGGGATGCACAGTGCCTTCAGCAGCAATGCAGATTTCAGCGGAATGGCTGAGAAGGGTGATGTGCTGATCTCCAAAGTTATTCACAAGTCTTTTGTTGCAGTTGATGAGAAAGGCACTGAGGCAGCTGCTGCTACTGCAGTTATAACCGTCACAAGTGCACCTGTTGGCCATGTTCTGAAATTTAAGGTTGATCACCCTTTCCACTTCTTCATCAGACACAACAAATCCAAGAGCATCCTCTTTTTTGGCAGGTTCTGCTCTCCTGTAGAATGAGATATTACTTGCTCCCAGACAGCACCCAGGGTTCACTGCTCAATGGAAAAATGTGAACTGCAGCATTAAAAGGTCAACCTAGTGTCAAGTAGCCATATGTACTGAAAATGTGTGTCCTTTTTCTTCCTCTCACCCCCAAGTAAGGCAGCACCCAGAGACCACCCTATGCCTCAAAGACCATCCCTCTACAGCTCCTTTCCATTGTCCTAATGAGACCACCCTTCACAGAAAACAGAGTGCAGAATTTTGCTCCCTTGTAGAACATCTGCCCTTCTGGCTTTGTTGCTTGAGAGCAAGGTGGAGCCATCCAAGCTCTCTGCACACAGGCCATTGCCTAGTCCCATGACAAGTGCTGACTTTAAGGGAAATGCAGTTCATCCTCTTGAATCATCCAGAGAGGAAAAAAGTCCCTGAAAGGAAAAATAAGAACGCCTAGAAATCTGTACACTCTTCTTTCCTCATTTGCATTACAATGCAGTTTCCTTATGTTCATTTAAATGTTAAAGACCACAGGAAATTAACTTTGTAAGTTAAGGATGCAGAGGGTTCCAGTCAGCACAAATGCTAAGAAAACTACGAATGACATGCTTCTAGCTACCTCTTATTGATATGCAATCTAAAACCTCTATAACTCAAATCTCCTCCCTCTTTTTAACTTATTTCTTATTTTATATCTGTTTTCTGGCTAATATTTGCACAAATTCCTTGCCACCTGTATCATTGATCAATGTATGATTTATGTAATATCTTATAATGAGTATGTAACTTCTGAGTGCATCAAAGTTAGTCATGGTATTGACAGAAACACCAGTCAGATTTTGACTGATGCTTTAGTTAATAACTGTGATCCACTTTTAATCAAATAAATGAACTTGGAGTTGTATTTGTGTTACCCAAGACACTGACTTTCTTGGCTGTCTTAGAGCATCATGTCAGGTGCACAGCTGGACCACATTTCCATTCCCGCTGACACACTTAGTGTCTTATTTCCACTGGGCTTCAGACAGCCCCAAAACCAATTATTAAGCACCACTATCCTAAGTGGTTACTAAACCCTACCAGGTCAAACTAAACTCCCTGATGAGCAAGTTTTTGTTCACTGAGTCAAGGCATTTGAACTTTTCTTTTTAAGCATTGGTTTTCCTGCTCACAAGGCTTGTTTTCGTGTCACACCACACTAAAAATAAAGCCTAACCAAATCTCGTAGCCCAGAAGAGCAGCTTCCAAACATCCCTTTTGCCCCTCTACAATAGTGAACAAACATTGCTCTACTGGCATCGTCAGTTCCCTCTGTTGACTTGGGAGGGCAGCAGTTGTGCTCTCCTGAGACCATGAAGAATAGTATAAAGTTCTGTAGCCATTGTGGTACCCAGTAGCCACATGTCAGAGAAGACAGAATCATAGAATGCGTTGGGTTGGAAGGGACCTTTAAAGGTCTAGATCCCTCTCCTCCTCCCTGCATTGAGCAGGAACATCTTTAACTAGATCAGGTTGCTCAAAGCCCCATCCAGCCTGACCTTGAATGCCTCCATCATCTAAGGCAACAAAATTTGAACACAGGAGGGAGGTACTGTAAAAATATTTACTCTCAGCCAAATTCCACCTATAATTACAACTCATTCTACCTTCACATAAGGTAATCTATTTGGAAGGATATCTCCACTCAACAAAGTATACCTGCATCTTCTTCCTGGTACGAAGTGCTGCTACTGAAATCAGTGCCCTCCATTGCCCAGAGCGCTCAGCACAGGGTTCAGCTCTCTGTTATCCAGGACCTACGCTGGTGCAGCCCAGCTGTGTGCTATTGACTCAGCTTTACTAAGACTTTTGTTGTTTAGGTGTGGAAAAGCGCACAAATGAAGGCCATGATAAACGAGAAAAGTTAAAACACAAACAGAGAAGTTGTTTTTAAGATGGAACAGTCAGCACGGCTTCAGAAGGAGAAACGATTGCATGAGGAGGTAAAAAATCTTAATTTAAAAAAAAATTGGAAAACAACAACTAATAATACTGAGGCCTCTTCTAGGCAGCAAAAAAAGATAAGCCCTCCTCCACTCGAGTGATGCTAGCCAGCAAAGACTCATCAGGGTGGTAAGCGTGTTAATTCTTAGTCTTGTAGCGTGTTAATCTCTGTTGTGTGTATTGAACAAGAAGCTATTACCAGGAACTCCTAAACTGTGCATACCCAGTTGGAAGAATCACTTCATGTAAGAGCAAAAGGTGCCCAAAGAAGTGAGAAATGCCAAACCAAATGAAGGGGCCTCCTGTGCCAACTTTTGTGCATCCCCTTGCTCATACCATACTGCAGGGCTCTGCAAAGCAGCCTGATGCTCACAGAGGAACTACAGCCCCATGTCTGCTGGCTGATGAGAGTTGTAAAGGGTCAGACAGGCTGTTTTTGGTACCAAGCCATTCCCAGGATTTCTAAAAGGCTTTATCCATCTTTTTTTAATCCATATTTTTAAAGGTTTATTTTCCCATCAGTAGCAGGCACAAGAGAAACGCTTTTAAAATGTTATTTATAATACAATCCTTCAGAGTTCTATTGCAACATGTGTGATTCTTGGTCTCATTTGCTTCCTGAGGGATATGGCTGAATAAGATTTCCTGCAGAGTAAAAATCTGCAATTGAACTTAGTCCAGCACTGATTGTAAACTGTGCTGCTCTTTACTAGATATAACTGAAAAAGAACTGATCTTCAAGAAATGGTCCACTCAGAGAGGATCACTTTACAGAGTACTGACATGCGCGTAAGACAATCAAACAGGCAGTTTGTAAAACCTCCCATCCTTGCTGAGCAAGATGGGGATGAAAGATGACTTCAGAAAGGATCAGAATGACTTCACCAGTATGCCAGGGAAAAGATGATTGGTTTTATCAAATGACTTTTTATGACCATTTGCCAGAGGTCAGTTCACTTGAGGTCAACAAGTCAGGGGCTGTGATGCTGTGAAACTTCGTTTCTGCCACTCTGGTTGCAGCAATTCACTATTTCCCCTCACTATTTCCATCTTGCACAGCAAAACCGGGAACACCTCTTCTTTGGCCAATGTGTTGCTCTGTGAAATTGCTCTCTCTTACTAAACAGGATCTTGCAGTGGCTGGAATATACCACAAATTGTGCCTACACAGTTTGGGTACCCTTTCTCCATTTTCCTGTATTTTTGGCCAATCTTTGTAGTCTGTAGTACCACTAACTGTTGTTTGGGATTTTTTTCTTTTCAATTTAGCTAAAAAATAGACAACAGCAGTTTGAGATAGACAGTAGAAACATTTCTGAAGCACATAACATGACAGCGTCTAATACATTTCTGAAGCAAGAAAATAAGATGGGTATTCTAAGCACAAAAATCTCACACACTTAAAAACAGAACATGTGAAGAGAAGAAGCACTCTTGAAACTTTGGATGGCGTATGGACCAGTTAGACTCAAAGTGAATATAACCATGAAAACATAATTCTAGTTCAGAATATGGACTTGCACGTTTTACTCGGATGCTTCTTCTGTACAGGCTGACTGCATGCCGGTACTTGGTTTATTTTTCATGTCTCATACTAGTGGGTAGAGGCCATTCCTAACTCCTCATAAATGTAGAACAAAAGATGTATACTGATCACAAAAAGAAATTTATCCATGCAGTTAAATCTAAGTCGCACAGATAAGAGCAGAGTAAACCACCAGAATTGCTAGTTACACTGGTTTAAAGTAAAACATTTGTGTACACGAAACTGCTTTGTATTACACCTTTGCTGACTCCTCATTTTAAACATTGCACTGGTTTGGCTCTCTACTTCAATACAACAAATAGTTCTGGCAAACAAAATCATTACAAGCAGAGCTTCAGGCAGTTTTGCAGCTTTTGTTGGATGATCCAACCTCCCTCAATCAATCACAGAGGAATAATAAGGTCAGTACAGTGTAGGGCTCATAGGCATCTAAAGCATCTTTACCTCCTCTGCTAGGAACAGTAGCCTCTTAAAACAACATCCACCAGTTCAAGGGAGTCCAGTGCTCACTCTTATTTCATCACTTATTTTAGGTGACTGTGTAAACACTTCCTGAGCTTCCTTTGTGAACCTTCTTCTTTCTGAAAGAGAAGAGCAAAAATGCAAAATATCACAAAATAAGGGCTTTATGTGACTTGAGGGCCACAAGTATTCAAATCTTTCTCCTCTCAAATCTAACCACCTGATGAATGAGACTAACAACCTATTTCAATATGTCCTTTAGCCATTATTTCTGAAATCAATTTCTGTTCATTTCCACAGTTTGTGGAGTGAAAAGGAAGCTGTAAAATTATTTCAACATGCCCCTTCCCAAGGCAGAGTGGTTGAATTCTTTTTTGTAATTCCTACACTTCTGCAGGCTAAATGCCAAAGTTGTGCAGAGGACACCTGTGGGAGAAAGGTACAGTGGCCTTCACATTTCAGGACACAGACCCACTAAGAGTGGCCTTGAATTAAAGAGGTCTCTCTCTCTCTGTCTGAAAGCAGGTGACACAGAGGAGAAGTAGGAATACATGAGAGAATACACACGTTAACACAGGAAGAGGATGTAGAGAAGAAAATGGAGGTGCAAACAGGGGATATGATCTGGTGGCAATTACAGAGACATCGTGGGACAGCTCACATGACTGGAATGTGGTGGTGGACAGCTCTGTCCTTTTTAGGGAAGACAGGCCAACAAGGCGAGGTGGTGGAGCTGCTCTTTATGTGAGAGAGCAACTGGAACGTTTTGAGTTCTGTCTTGGAGAGGATAAGGAGCAAGTCGAGAGTTTGTGGGTGAGAATGAAGGGGCAGGCTAGCATGGGCGGTGCTGTGGTAGATGTCTGTTACAGGCCACCTGATCAGGATGAGGAAGTTGATGAGACCTTCTACGGGCAGCTGACAGCAGCCTCTCAATCACAGGCCCTGCTTCTCCTGGGGGATTTCAACTACCCAGATATTTGCTGCAAGGCCTACACAGCCAGCCATCCGCAGTCCAGGAGGTTCCTCCAGT